CAGTTTCCCTGATGAGTCCGCAGCTGGCCGTGAGCAGGCGTGAGTCCCGCCTCGCGCTGCCGGCCTCTTGTCCCCACACCTTCATGCTCACTCGGCCGCTGAGAAGCTGCCCGTGGCAAGCATGAGTGTTTGTGTCGGATTGACTTCGAGCGCACAGAAAAGGCGACAGTGCCCCGGACAGCCTGTTGTCTGCCTGGTTTGGGGTCGGTATGTTTCTTTCAAGTAGAAACTCCGGTGCCCAGACGGCCTGCGTTTCTGGGTGGTGTGCCGTACGCTCAGCCTGGCTTCCTCTCCTGGCAGGGCCGTCGCTGCCTGTTTGCCAGAAACGCCGGGCTGCTAAATGTGCTTAAAGCAACACGGATCCAGTGACGTCCTCTGTGTCTTTCCACCTAGGACGTTGAAAATGACTGTACCAACCCTCCGGATTACTGGACGATCCACGGGTTATGGTAAGCACACACGCAGCTGAAACACACCGGGCCCTTGAAGGAGGCTGGCCCCTGGAGACACGTGCTACGTCTGGTCCTAATTCACTTGTGATTTTTTGTTGTTGTTGTTGTTGTTACGTGCCGTCGAGTCAGCCCTGACTCATAGCGACCCCTCCTTTGGTTTCCGAGGCAGTATCACTACGGAAGTAGGATTGCCCAACCTTCCTCCCGAGGAGTGGCTGGTGGGTTTGAACCGCCAGCCTTCTGGTTAGCAGTCAAGTGCCTTAGCCACTATGCTACCAGAGCTCCTGTGATTTTTTGTAGGAAACTTTGAATAGATGAGGCCTTTATGTAGAAATAGCTGTCGTCTTTCTAATATAACCCGGACTCTGGTGTGTTCCTGCCCTATTGGGAAGGGATAGTGACAGTCTAGTTCAAACAAGAAATAGCTGTAGTCTTTCTAATACAACCCGAACTCTGGTGTGTTCCCACCCTGTTGGGAAGGGATAGTGACAGTCTAGTTCAAACAAGAGTTTATGCATTCATGTCTGTTCAAGGCTTGCTGAATTTTTCTTATTTTGTTCTCTCTTGGAGGCAATAAGTAAATACATAAAAATACATAAAGAAATGCATGTATAAGGTAGAAAGGAACTGTAATGGCTCAGTGGTTAAAAGGCTCAGCTCCCACCAGAAGGTCGGTGGTTCTAACTCACCAGCCGCTCCGTGGGAGAAGGATGAGGCAGCCTGCTTCTGTAAAGATTAGTCGCCTTGGAAGCCTTACAGGGTCACTGTGAGTTAGAATCGACTTGATGGCACGGGTTATAGCATATATGTTGTGTGTGCATATGTGTTATGCAGACCGTGTGTGGCCCTGGGTGGTACAGACTGTTAATGAACATTATATTACGTATGTTGTATGTACATACGTGTTATGTAGATTCGGTGCAGCCCTGGGTGGTACAGACCGTTAATGTACATTATATTACGCATGTTATGTGTGTATATGTGTTACATGGACTGCATCAGTGCCTGGGCAGTGCACACATGAACACGTTTGACTGCTAATTCAATGTTTGGAAGTCCAAGCCCACCCAGGGCCCCTCACAAGGAGGGCCTGGCAATGGACCCCCACAAACTCAGCCCCGGTGACCCCCGGTGACCCTGTGGAGCACAGTCCTGCCCTGACACTGTGCCCGTAGTCTGTCAGGTCAACTGCGGCAGCTGATCAGGGTCTGCAAGCCTAGGAACCCCCCCTTGGCATCCGCTGCTCTGTTCTGTGCTGCCTTTGTCACAGCAGTGACTCGTGGGGCTGCCACCTCGTGGGGCTGCCGTCTCAGCCAAGACCATGTCTCTCTCTTTTTCCAGGCCCGATAAAGCTGAAGAATGTAATCGGTCATGGCATTTCAACTTAGACGAGATTAAGGTACTGCTGTGGGCTGTGGGCCTGGCGGTCAGTTGTATCCCTGCTGTGGGCTGTGGGCCTGGCGGTCAGTTGTATCCCTGCTGTGGGCTATGGGCCTGGCGGTCAGTTGTATCCCTGCTGTGGGCTGTGGGCCTGGTGGTCAGTTGTATTCCTGCTGTGGGCTGTGGGCCTGCGCTCTGCACTGACTGTGTCCTTCATAAGTGTACCCGCAAAGTCACAATTTAAGACACGAGCATCGGGGTTATGTTCACAGGAGTAAACTTTCTTAGGAATTCCAAAAAACCAAACTCACTGCCAGGGAGTCAGTCCAACTCATAGTGACCCCTCCTTGGGTTTCCGAGGCAGTACCCCTACAGAAGGAGATTGCCCAGCCTTCCTTCCGGGCAGTGGAATTGGTGACACAGAAAAGAATCCTACAAAGTAAATCAAAATGGACCTTTGTCCTCCTCGGCCCATAAGTGGATACGGGAAGTGAACCCGGGCTTGGGGCCAGCACACTCTGGTTCCATGCACCTGCTGCACCCGGGAGCCGGCCTCCATTCCCGCCCAGCCCCGTGATGCTGAGGTCTAGTGCTGGGCAGGGGGTGGGCACCTCCAGGCAGCTGTGGCGTGGAACCGAGGGTCGGCTGGAGCAGGGCTACTGGGGGGCGTTTCTAAGGAGAGACTGTGAGTGGGAAGGAAATGGTGGTGTCTTAGTTCCCTTGTGCTGCGGTAGCAGAAATACCACAAGGCGGGGAGGCTTATGAGGAGAGGAACTTCTTTTCTCATAGCTCAGGAGACTAGAAGTGCATTCAGGACGCTGGGTGCAGGGGAGGCGCCCTCTCCATTGGCTCCAGGGTGGGAGCCTCGTCTCCTTCAGTTTCTGCAGCCCTGGTGTTGTCGTGAGGCACCCCGAGTCAGTCCACAGCGACCCCATGTGCAGAAGAACGACACTCCCTGGTCCTGCCTTGTTTGGGTTCCCCAGAGCCACTACAGCAGAAATGCCACAGATGTCGGCTTGAACAAACAGCTTATTCTCTTACAGTTTAGGAGGCTACAAGTCTGAATTCAAAGTGCCAGCTCTAGCAGTGGTTGAAGGCCCCTTGACCTTGGGCTTCAGCTTTGCCTCCTGCTCCCAGCCCACTGAAGCTGGAGGCTTCTCTTAACTCAGGCAGCTGCTGGCTGCTGAGGCTGCCAAACCCATGATCTGCAAGTACAGTGGCACAGTCCCAAGATTATCAAGCAGCATGGCAGGCCACTAGTTCAAGTTCAGAAATGGTCCCAAGATTGGCAGACAGCATAGTGGCTGCTGGATGATGACTCAGCTACATGCAGGGTCCAAGCATGTGCCCAAAGCTGCAGAGCCCTTTCTCAAGGCTTCACCTTACATACGGGAAGCAGATCTCATCCCCAAGGCAGTACTCAGCTGCTGCGGTGGACTCCACCAGGGAGCTAATGACAGCCTCATCCTGGAATCACTGCACCCAGCTGCCCAGCCACGCTGACACCCAACCTCAACCACCGCACGCACCATCCTCATGATCACTGCGGTGCTGGGGCCCCTGGTTACAGCCTGTGTCGGTCCATCTCGTTGAGGGCCTTCCTCTTTTTCACTCATCCTCTCCTTTACCAAGTCATGTGAGGGCTTGAGAACACCATGGCTTGGGGCAGGTGCACCTTAGTCTTCAAAGTGACGTCTCTGCTTTTCAATGTTTTAAAGAGTCTTTTGCAGCAGATTTGCCCAGTGCAGTAACCATTTGATTTCTTGACTGCTGCTCCCATGGGCTTGGTTGTTGATCCACATAAAATGAAATGCCTGACAACTTCAGTCTTTTCTCCGTTTCTCATGTTGTGAGGACTTTTGTTTTGTTTCTGTTGAGGTGTAATCCACACTGAAGGCTGTAGTCTTTAATCTTCATCAGTAAGTGCTTCAAGCCATGTTTACTTTCAGTAAGCAAGGTTGTGTCATGTGCATATCGTGGGTTGTTAATGAGTCTTCCTCCAGTCCTGATGCCTGTTCTTCATACCATCCAGCTTCAGGATTATTTGCTGCCCTAGGGTTCCCCAGTTCTTTGCAGTCTTCACAGACCATCTGTCCTTCCCTGTTTGTGCCTTTTCTTATATCTAATGCACTCTTTTTATATCAGCACTAAGCAGCAGTCGGTGGGAACTTGCACCTTAATTGCTGATTACATGTCAGGACTGGCATGAATCCAGTCCCCAGCATGTAGAAATGGATCCAGTCCTCCCCTTGCCCCTGCTCCATCCTCATTGCCAGCTCCCCATGTGACACAGTCTCTCTCCACCACTGGCCACCGGCACTGGGCAGCACTCACACATTAGAAGGACACCATCTTCAACATCTGCTGGCTCTCCGTGCCCTGTGGGCTTGTTAATTCACTGGAGTAACTCCCATTGTCTCAGGGAGAGTACCCCATAGTTATGGCTACAACTGTATTACAACTAGAAGACATACAAAGGAAGATGTGCATGGGGTGAGGTCTGGGAGCACCTTGGTGTGGGGCTGCCATGTCCCGAGGAGGCACTCGCTGCCCTCCCTGCGCTTGGTCACCAACCAGGAAGCCCTGCTGAGCCTCAGGGCTCAGGGCTCTTCTGAGCCTCTGTAGAGCACCGTGGGGCCTAGTTAGGAGGATGAGACAAGGACCAGAGTGCTCTCAGCTGGGTGCTTCTCAGAAGTGATGGGCAGACACACCCTGCATCAGTAGGGCCCCATTAACAGAACAGTCGCAGACAGGACTCATCCCAAGCTTAGGGTTAGTGCCCGACACACTTTGAGGGGATGCAGTTCAGCCCCTGACGGTGGGTCTTTCCAGCACAGAGGAGCCTGTTGAAGGCTGACTCCTGGGGCTGGAGTGGATGGGAGAGATGAGTGGAAGGATCTCTCCAGATGCTCTCGGCACTTCCCCGCCACGTGTGGAATACTGCACGTGCACTCACCCTCACACCTGCACACACGCACACATGCGGTCTTCCCCAGGGGGTGCTTGTCAGTGCATGCAAATTGTCACGTAGGTCAGGGTACCTGGAGCCTGGCTTTGCAGGACGGGGTCCTGGAGGTCAGAGGGGCCCCTTGAGAGTGAGGTGGAACCGGAGGGCCTGCTGGGATGGACGTCCTTGAGGGTGAGGTGGAACTGGAGGGCCTGCTGGGATGGACGCCCTGCAGGGGTGCACTGGGGAGGGGTGATGACTCCACACCCACCGCAGGTGCCAGTCCACACAGCGCCAGACTGGGCTCCTTTCCTCCAGCCCCTTCCTGGGACGTCCTCTGAGGCCGGCACCCAGGAGGCCTTGGGTGCTCGGATCCTGTGCTAGCAGTCACTGCGGGTGCCCCGGAGCCTGTGCCGTGGGCGCAGACACAGCGTCTTCTTCCAGGGGACAAGCTAACTGCCCACCACTGGGTCCTTCCTGCTTAGGAGGTGTGGCCTTTAGTGGGGTTATAGATTAACTCTTTCAGTCCAGATTCATGGAGTGCTGACCATTTGCCAAAGCAGTTAAATGCTCGACTGCGAAGTGAAAGATCGGTGGTTCGAGCCCAGCAGGCCCGCCACGGAGAAAGATGAGGCAGTCTGCTTCTGTGAAGGTTGGCAGCCTCGGAAACGCTGCAGGGCAGTTCTACTCTGCCCAACGGGGTCGCTGTGACTCAGATTCGACAGCATACGTCTGTGGTGTGGAGGCGCTCAGCCTGCCCCACCCTGAGCAGCTGGTCTGGGAGAGGAGAGCTTGGGTTTTCAGATTCGGTTTCCTAGTGACTCACATTCCTCTTAGATAAGCTCGGGGGCATTTCACTGGCAGATACCGTTAATTAGCAGGGCTGAACTGGCTTCTGCATTGGCAGGTCCTGTGTGGACATTTTAATGGTGTTTGTCCCATAACAGGACCTCCTGCCCGACATGAAGATGTACTGGCCTGACGTGATTCATCAGTCCTCGAACCGCAGCCACTTCTGGTAAGTTTTCATCTCCAACAGCCGTCACGGGTCCGGACAACAGGCGTGGAAAGCTTGAGAAAGGCCTTTCAGTGGAGGCTGCGTGGGAAGCAGAGATGAAGGGCGTCGGGGCTGGAAAGTTTGAACGACCTGGTACCTAGCATGGCTCTGTGAGCCCCTCTTGCTGCCTCGCTGGCGATAAGAGAAGGCCAACGGGTCTGCTGTCTCATCTGGTTCCTCCTTTAAAACATTTCCTCCCGAAAGGAGTTACTGGGGTGGGCCCAATATGGATGAAGCTTAACAGTGGAGTGAAATAAGTCCCAAAGGGGCAGGTGCTGCAGGTCGCTGCACATAAACTGTCTGGAGTAGGTGTGTGTCCAGAGAGCAGCATTTACGGTGGGCACCAGGGGCAGGTGGCAGGGAGAGCCGCTGCTGGGAATATCTGGGCGTGGTAAGTGGGGATGGTCTAGCGGCACGATGAACAGATTCAATGTTGAACTGTGTGCATGCAGGTGGGAGATGGCACGTGTTTTCATATCTTTACCACAGCATGAAAATATACGTATCTTTTTAAAATTTCCTTTGTAAGGTTTAAGCCAAATACTTAGACAGTGGGGAATATTCCTTAAATAAATTGTTCTGCTGCCTTGATACTCTTAAGAAAACAGAAGACGGACCTAAGAGAGCATGCCCTCAGTCATACAGTTCAGGACTTGCTGCTGTTGGCTGCTGACGAGTCGGCCCTAACTCGCGGCGACACGACGCACAGCAGAGCTGAACGCTGCCCGGGCGGGGGCCGCCCCGCGGTGGTGCGTACGTCAGACCGTCGTGACCCACGGGCTCTCACGGCTGATTGGTTGGGAGTGGGTTGGCCGGCCTTTCTTCCTACCTCATCTCCGTCTGGAAGCCCCGCCCACACCTGTTCAGCATCAGAACAGCACACACGCTTCCAGAGACCCACGGTGGCGGCTGTGCTGAGTGCGTTGACGGGACTCGAACCCTGGTCTTCTGCGGGACGTGAGCATCCTAGCCCACAACCACCGCTGTCCCCATAGAAAAGGAGCTTTTAACGTGAGGCTGAATCCTCTGTGTTTCAGTCAGGCACCTTTAAAGTTAGCAAGAGCTGAGCTGAGGAGAGAAACTGTTTAATTCGAGAGAACGTTTGCAATAATTGCCTAAGACAGACACTCCTTTTCTTTACCTGACTAACTGAAGGTAAGAGCCTGTATTTCCCGACCTCACTCCAGGTTGGCGATTTGTAACCCAGATCCCAGCAAAGCAGATTGAGCCCAGAAAGATGCACTGAACCTGGGAACATTGCTCCAGAATTTTTAGGTAAAGGACTAAGTTGAGGAAAAAGCTTTGTGTGTACATATATAATTACTTTTTATTGTTACTGTTACATAAGATAGGAGCTCAGGTGCCTAAGGCACTTGACTGCTAAC